GCTGGCACACTGGCCCCCAAACGTATCACTACGTATATATATATATATATATATATATATATATATATATATATATGTGTATATATATATATATGTATGTATGTATGTATACATATAATTTGTATTACTATCACGTCGACTTCAAATGGAAAGTAATTCCTCAGCATCAAAATAATTTTGCAACTAACCAAATATTTATTTTTATATTAAAAAAGCAGAATGGCCCGAATCCGGCGAAGAATTACGAGCTGAAGGCAGGCCAGGTCAACTTTCCTGGTCCAGCCCTACCCTTACCGAAAGTGATGCCTCTCCTTGGGGCCTCCTGGGGCGCTTAAGGAACTGACCTCAACTAGTACCCTGACCCCTGGTGGTCGTGGCGAACATCGAACCCTGGTACGCAGAAGAGAGCCGACGCCCTGCAGAGGCGGTGAGAAAGTCCAAGTTTTGGACTTTGGCGCATAGGCTCCACACCGGCATTGGGAGCCCATTGAAGTAAATATTTACGTTAGAAGCTCTTGCGTTATAAGTGTTGTCGCTTAGACATCGATGCGTTAGCTTTTGCATTACATGTGATGTGGTGGAGAAGTTTTTGAGTTAAAAGTTTTTTTCTCGTAGAAATGTAAATGGTAGATATTCTTCTGATAGAAGAAACTTCGCGCAGAAGTTTTTATCTTAGAATTTTTGTCGCGTAGAAGTAGTGTCGCGGGCAAGTGTTTGCGTTAGGAGTCATCTGGTGGAGATGAAGTCATGAGCAGGAATTGCGTGAGAAGTTCTGTTGCGGAACAATAACACGTTGCCTTTTGACCTCCTCCGCCAGGATTTGTGCACAAGAAGGGTCAGCATCCAGCCTGCACTCGATGCGCCTCTGGTTGTCGTGCCTGTGGTGTGGTCGTTCCATCCCGATGTGGCTCCCGGCTGGGTCGGGGCTGCGGTCGCACCGCTCCGGCGGGTGGCGCGATCAAAACACCGTCAATCCACAAACATTTTAATAAAAACTTAAAAATTGTACAATAGTATGAAAATTATAGTCTATCTGTGGATAGAGAGAGCTCTATATATGTTACACACTTATAGAATATGTATGGCTTAGTACTATAGTGTGGTGTATAATACAGTCGGATGACCAGCCCCGCACAACGCACACGCAAGTTCTACCGGGTCAGAAGATAACAATCAAAAAGCTATCAACAACTCGTGTCGATTTACGAATATGCGCGGGATATCCTCGGCTACCCCGCTCCTCCCGGCGAGCGTGGAGCCGTGCTATGGAGGCGATGCGGGACCCTCCGCCACGCGCCCTTAGGACCAGGGATCAGCTTCGAGGAACGAACAGGGCAATGCCTCAGACGAACGAGATGAGGACCTACTGGTCACCGAAGGCGTGTGATCAGAACGGATGCCTGCTGTTCAAACGAGCGCGTGTATGCGCGGGAAGGATGTGACCAAGGCGCGGAGACATGTCTCGGAGGCCGGCCGAAAATGCGCTGTTTACGTATGGGTGCGAACGCCGACGTAGGTAAACTCTCGATGCCATATCGTGCTCGCCAACAGGTGCCGGGGAACGTAAGAGTACGAAGACGTTCCTTTGGAGTTATTAGGGATGGAAAAAGCAATTTTTGGAGGATTCACAATCAGTAGCACGCCGAAAGTCGCTTAGAGGGTCGTCTGATGGCACGCATGCCTCGTTTACAGTGAGCGTCATTTTAGCGGGCGGGGTGGCCCAGCTGGCATTCAGGATCAGGGAGGGCGCGCTACCACGGGGCAGAGACAGGTCCCAACACCGCCAGATTTCATGAACAGCTCCGAGACGTTGTAAAAGAGACTGTGGGCCGTCCCGTCCCTTGCGGGAGTGTGCGCCTCGACCTGCACGCAGGGCGGGAGCGCCGCTGGACAGCTGGTGCCATTGAGCCAGAGGTGGGTCACAGGCGGCGAGGGTGTCCACCATAGCGGCCACACCGCTGACGGTCACGGGGTCAGAGGAGGCCGTGCGGACGCGCCATCCCAGCCAACTAGCACCGGGGAAAGCAGCCGGCACTGAACAGGCTCTAAAAACGTACAAACACACTGATCTACGCTGCGTGGCGGCTTTCACACGCACGCACCTAGAACGGCTATAGAAAACGCCCACGCGGGGTATAGTTCCTGATGATAACGTCGACGGACGCGTATAGCACAGTACAGCCTGCAGCACCCAACCCACGGACAGCCGTCACACGTACAGTCGCTGACAGCGATGCCAGGGGCGGGCGCTTTCTGGTACTTCGTACATCGGCCAGCGTTCGGAACCGGCCCGGTCCAGCGCCGCCTTGAAGCCTTGGTCTACTACGCTCGGTACCGGGTACGCATGCACGATAAAAAGGGTCAAACAGTGCATGAGCCCGCAGTGCTCAGGTCCGTGTGTACAAAACGCGGCGGAGCAGACGCCCTGACATTCGCCAGAGGATTCCCGTCCCCGGCGCCCAGTGTGTGTGCTCGTGAACCCCACGACCAGACTACAGCACACACCAAACAACGCCGTATTTACAAGCGCAGGCCCATCGCCAGACATAACGCGATCTGGCAGCCCGGCTGCCAGATGACCTTCTTTTGTTCGTCGGTCGGCGCCGCGGCCGTCCGCCAAACGCCCCTGCAAGGTGGCTAGAGTGACGGAGGCGGCGGCCGCGGCGCAAAACCCGCCGCGCGACAGAGGTCACCAGGTCAAAGCGCCTCCAGGGACAACAGTGACGACGAACGCCGAAAATAAACTCTCGCACGCCCAACAGCAACAAACCGGCCACGCAGAGCCACGCACGTTTGTACCATCCAGGATTAGGGGTGGAGGCTAGACGGAGCCAACCAATCAGGAGGTGGCACGGGCTCCACCGCCGGTTCTCGGTGACCACACTGCACGCCACGGGATCTGCCATGCAGCGGGTACGGGCGGCGCACGCACCCGCCGCCGCGCCGCATAAACATCTGTGAGAGTGCAACAACTACGCGATGAAGCGATCGTTTCGGCTTCCACTGAGCATGACGGCGCGGGCGGTATGACGGGGCAGAGGCGGATGCAGGGTGACAGAGTCAGAAAGGGCTGGGGCAGGACGAAAGAGTTGGCAGAGGCGGTGCAGGCATGACGAGATGGACGGCAGAGGAGGAGTCAGGGCGAAAAGGGGTTCGTCGGGGAGGAGCCAGACCAAGATGAGCCTCGAGTCAAAAAGGGAGTCGGCAGAGGTGGAACCAGGATCAGGAGAGGGTCGGATCGTCACTTCAGCTGACACGATGAGAAAGAGAAATTTCGTTTGACTGGTGATAAAGCCTTACAATGGGAGAACAAAGATCTTAAGTGTTCGCCGATTGGCCAAGGGTGGTAGGGGGAGGGGACCTAACGAAAGCTTCATCACCTTTGAGAACGCTCACGATTATGTTCCTGAGCCTCGCTTATGCACGAAATTGCGGTTTATAACAATTCTGAAGGAACGAGAGCATACTGCAAATATGGACAGAGTGTCGAGTGCCACCAGTGACCTGACAGCTCAGGCAGCAGCCACTGCCGCCTCCCGCCTCAGCACGCTGCCGTTACTGCCGCCTCCCGCCTCAGCAGGCGGCAATCACTGCCGCCTCCCGCCTCAGCACGCTGCCGTTACCGCCGCCTCCCGCCTCAGCAGGCAGCAGCCACTGCCGCCTCCCGCCTCAGCACGCTGCCGTTACTGCCGCCTCCCGCCTCAGCAGGTGGCAATCACTGCCGCCTCCCGCCTCAGCACGCATGAGCTCAAAGACCTCTTCTATCCGCGGTTACAAGTATGAATTCCGACAGGGTCGTCCTCCAAGAGCCCTCCATCTCATGACCACTGTGACCTAGGCCCAACAACGTACTACAGCGCCCGCCGTGCGAGATTCGAAAGATTACGAACACGGCGTCCTCACGGGAGGATTTTGAACGAAGACGGCGGTGTGACAGGCCAGACCGGACGCTGGGGCGGGCAGGGACGGGCCTGGCCAGCGTAACTTCACTGGCCCGGCGGTCCTCAGTGCATCATGTCCACCGCAAGCAAGTGGCCGGCAACTGTCGGATCCCGGTCCGGAATTTTTACTGCTATCTGCAGGCGTTATCGCGGGCTCGACGTGATGAGGGTCCAATAGCAGGCAGCCTGCGCCATACGTGGCTGCGCCCCGCAGCCCCAACGAATTAGAATCGAATTAGATATTCGCCAAACTGGGAACCAGCCTGAGCTAAAATCCGCGACCTGAATCGGCTTTTGGACGGCGACTCAGCAAAGTCCAATACACATCTTACTGTGATATATATATATATATATATATATATATATATATATATATATGCAAAGTGCCGCGGATAACGATGTCTTAACTGGTATCTCTGTGAAGAGCAACGTGGTATTAACGTTAACAATGTTAAACTTACAAAACTTTTAAGAGCCCCGCGGAGGCGCACCCGTGACCTCAAGCATTTCTTCCGTCACGCCGCCTACGTGCCGGTCTCATGACTTCAGGCTCATCATACACGAGGTCATGGCGTCCCAGGCAGGGAACGCTGCGCAGTTCGCAGCCGCCGCCGCGTCCGAGGGCGAAAGGTCAGGGGGTCGCTCGATGCGGTCGAGTCCGCCCGATATCGACGCCGCTCCGTGCCCCGTGCCCGGCGGGCCGAGGTCGCTGGGGTGGGGGCGTTGCCACCGTCAGAACGTGAGCCTGTCGGGTCGACTGACCGGGCGAGATCGTCCGGTCCTCGCCGGAGGCGTCCTGCCGGCTCAGGGAGAACCCAGTCTGAACGGCCACAGACTCTCACCCCGGCGTGCGGCGGGCGGCGGGACTCCCAGGCCTTCCTCCGGCACGGTACGCTCTGCTACCGGCAGGGCTCTCAAACACCCGGCGGTGCCCCCAGCCCGGCCGACGGCTAACGGCTCGTCACTTACCATTATCACAAAATTTAACCGCTACAAACTACGAAAGAGACCGATCACAGTGGCTTGAACGACTAGAGGACGCACGCGGCCACAGGCCGCCTAGTTGGCGACCAGCAAGTGCTGCAGGTGCGGGTTGGAGGCGTACGTCAAGCTCTCCAGCAGCTGCTGGTTCTCCGGTGTCAGCGCCGCGAACAGGGCGCCACTCTGCGTCGCACCGGTGCTGCGTGGCGGCGGCGGCGGCGCAAACACGTCGGCGTCGTACATGCCCGGGGGCATGGCGGTCATCTTGCCGGCGAACGGCGCGAACTCGTGCGCCGGCGGCGGCGCTGGCGACAGCGGCCGGGCTTGCTGCGCGAACGGCGCGAACAGCGCCGGCGGCTGCTGCAGCAGCGCGCGCTGCTTGATGTAGTTGCTGAACTCCGTGGGGCTCATCCGGCTGCCGCGCTTGCCGCTGCTCTTCAGCTTGGTGCTGCCGAACTTGGTCTGCGCGAACGCCGCCGTGGTGAAGGTGACGGGCGCACGCGGCCGGTGCGCTGCGAACCCTGGCGCCGGGCTGGCAGCGCGGAAGGTCGGGGTCGGCGAGGCCTGCGCCGGCCCGAACGGGCTGCCGGCCGGCGGCGAGGCGACGGCCAGCGAGCCCAGCGACGCCGCCAGCGCCTCGATGGGCCGGAAGCTTTGCGCCTCCGGGTTGAAGGTGGAGGTGACCTCGTGGTCGCAGCGGTCCTCGCTGACGCGCTCGGCGGCCGGCTCCGAGTACAGCAGTTTGACGGCGCCCTTCTCACCGGCGCGGTAGCTGACCTCGCCCGGGTCGATCCAGACGCAGAGGTCCTCCGGCAGGTTCTGGCGGATCTCGGCCAGGGCCAGGCCGCTCTCGCGCGCCGCCGTGTCCAGCACGGGGTCGAGTGGGTCGCCCGTCTTCAGGCAGCGGTAGGCGGAGCCCTTGAACGGCCGGTCCGGATACCAGTGGCTCTGGAACTTGAAGCGCAGCGCCCGCTCCAGCTCCTCGGCGAAGATGTTGACGCGCCGCCGCGGCAGCTTGTTGTACATGAAGGAGATGACGAAGTTGAGCGCTACCTGGATCTCCAGCTGCATGGCTTCGGGCGGCTCGGCTGATGTGGTGACGGTCCACCGCGCACACAGCAGACCTGCGACACGAGCGAGATGTCAGGCCCAGAAGGCAGATCGGCGAGTATCAGGTCGGTCAGGTCATGTGAAGTCTTTCGTCATGTCAGGAACCGGAACCGCAGATGCCAAGAAATCGGCCTACATCATAAGCATGGGACAGCCACTCGATAGGACCGCTGCAGCCTCCGCTGCACCGCCAGTGAGCCTGCTCTGAAATTCAAAATAGCGCACGGCCCACACGAAACACCACAGCAGCTGCTCTCTGACTCCGTAAGCTCCCCAGCTCGCATCTGACACTGTCAGACGTGGCAGTAAAAGCAGGTCTGAGACACACATCAGCATTCAGCAGCAGCGTCGACAGGTCCGTCCATATATGCCAGGTGAGATGCAAGCACCGCGAGCACTCCGTGCGGAACAATGTGCAAATGACGCCGCCCACAACGTGCCACAAGCCGGGAGGGGCTTGTGCAGGTATAAAATCCGTCAGCAGAATCCTGGTCCGAGTTTGCTGTCGGTAAGCCACACTCAGCACCAGGCCATCACTGAAGGTGGTGGCACTGGGCGATATCGAGTGGCCTAAACAAAATCAGGTCACTTACACGCGCCGGCGGAAGCCAGCGTGACTGAAGCCGCTGTCACGTGACGACAGCTGACTGGAAAACGTCGGCCAAGTAAGCGAAACACAGCTGTTTACCCGCACTGTCCATGGTTTCCAGTGTCAAGAAGTGTGGACCAAAGTCGATGAAAACGCTATAACCAGGACCGTGCCGTTGGTCCGCATGTAAACTGACGTGCCGTGGGGAGTACAGTACATTTCCGGCTGGGTTTGCAGCACCGTTGTTTTGGACAATCGCCAGCCATTTGCCGTCAGCGCCACAGGGTTTGTCATGAGTCGCTTTCATGAATGGATGAAGCCGTCTTGAGACTGCTGCGGCTCTGTGCCATCAATTCGCGCATTTTCAAGTCCATTCGCTCCAGAGAAGTCACGTGTCGCTGTAGCGTTATAAATGTATCGCTTCCTAAAACAAGCGACCTGCGATGCAGCGAGCACGTGACCTGCAGCGCAGCAAACTTCCAGCGCACAAACACCGATGTCATATAGAAAATATAATGAACAAATATAAAAGCCAGGTAACTGGAAATGTTCGACGGGAACTGCTTGTAGCTTGTGCCAGGTAGTCACTATTTAAAGGGCCTGGATGTTCGAGGCGACCGGGCACGTGGCCGACGGGGACGGGATGTGTCGGGGATCAGTCCCGCGCCAATGTTTACTCTGAGCCGAGGTGTGACTGAGTCACATGGGGCTCTATTTGTGAGCCGATCACGTGGTGCGGCTGTGGCGCGCTGCCAGCGTGACGCGGCCCCCGCCCGGCGGCCTTGGCAGTGGAACAGCGGTGGCGCGCGCCGGCCACAGGAGGGTGGGGGTGGCGCGCGCGCGCGAGAAACCGTACATCACCAAGGCCTGATGCGGCAGCTGGCGTGGCACGGCGCCGCGACCTCAGCTGACCGCCGAGGTCGCGGCGCTGTACGGCTCACTGAGCAGCTCCATTCAGAAATATGTAGTTCGGTTGACCATGTAGATATTCATCAGCCCGAACTCAAATGAGGGTGAACTTGGCCAGCGCAGTAGTAAGTGTTCGTTACGAAGGCTGCCAAGTTCTTGGAACACGTCCATTGCATAAATAATAATATTACGCGAAACGTCATGTGACATTTGGCCGCACCTGGCCATGAGCTGGTTCTGGCGAAAGACGCTCCCGACGGCGAGCGTTCCTGGCTTCACTGGAACGCCCTCATCCAAACAGTCAATCGACACGCAGCCTGCGAGTAACGCTACAACTGACCGGGCCGGACGCCAGGCTTAAGGGCCGGGCTGAAGAGCACACTCGTGTGTGACGTGCCAGGCTCGTCCGCTCTTTAAACTGGCGCGGTGTTCGCGGAAACGGGACACCGGTACTCTACGGAAGGCAAGCAGGGCGAGCCGGCGCTCTACCGCGCGTCTTCCCCAGCGGAAAAACACGCGGCGGTAACCTATTCAAACTAGACGAGTAGAGCCTCTCGCCGGGCGCGGCTTCCGTGTGACACACATCCCGCTCCACCGGTAGCGTTATCTCGGGTCTCCGAGTCTGCCTCGGGCGGGCTGCCTGCCTCCCCCCCCCCCCCTCCCCCTACGCCCTGACCGTCGCGAACGCCACCGCCAGGCGTGGCGTTCGGTGCCCGAGGACCGGCGATTGCGAGTGGTCCGGTTGATTAACAGCTGTCGCGAGGCCACATCGGACTGCGTCAGCCCGCCCGCTCGAGGTCAGGTGAAGGTCGCACCAGTCGGGCTTCCCTCCCCAGCGTTGTCTAAGCCGCTCTTAAGGGTTAAATGGCCGAATCTTGAGTATGATTGACGTTTAAATGCTCTCTATCGCTACCATGAGCGCTGACCTGCACATGAAAGCCAGAAAACATGTTCACTGCTATGTGCAGGGAAACAGATGAAAGTACTTGCAGCAGCCTGTAGATGGCCGTGCCATAAAAAGTAAGTGAAATGAGAAGCAGCTGTGCCAGATGGCCAGGCATGCCAGCCAACTTTCCCATTTATTGATGTGAGAGACAAGAACGTTAATGATCGCGAAATGGAGAGGTTTGTAACGAAAGCCAATTTGTGCTGGTGAAAACAGTCATCGGACTCGGGAGCTTGAGCGTTTGCCTGTGATTGCAACGTCATTTTTCCTATAATTCCATTGAACTTTTCCAGTGTTTTCTTGTCAACCGTGTTCATATATCAAACGTCTCAGTGATACACTAGTATCATTCACCAAGTCTAGCCAAGACCAAGACGAACTATACAAGTGTCGGCACAGGGCTCCAGGAGGCGACAATCAGCGTGCCTCCATGACAGCGGGCGGGCATGGCCACGGTCGACTACATCTGGCAGCCGTCTAGCAGCCATTTGGCAGCCCCGTCACGTGACGGCCTGTTCGGTAACGGGCCAGCTGGGGCGAGGGAGGCGGGGGGGGGGGGAGGGCGGGGGTCGTCCGGATAACATTGAGATTCGTGGCGGCTGAATTAGCTTTGGAGGCAAACAGGACAGGGGTATGGGAAGGGGGCGTGGTTACCAGGTATCAGTAGCAGGTGGTTCAGGGACCGGAATCGGGGACTCAGAGGAGGTCAGATGTCAAAATAAATGGTTTGGTTATTATTTGCAGAGATGCTTGAACTATTTAGCGGCATGGACGAGGCCAAACAGACCCAGACCTGCCGTTCCTCTACCGTCCTAAGGAGCCTCAGACCTGCCGCTCCCCTGCCGCCCTAAGGAGCACCAGACCTGCCGTTCCCCTGCCGTCCTAAGGAGCCCCAGACCTGCCGCTTCCCTGCTGCCCTAGGCAGTCCCAGACCTGCCACTCCCCTGCCGTCCTAAGCAGCCGCATCATGTCAGACACGGCCTAGCCATGCCAAGTCCATGCCTAGCTTCGCGTTCGCCATTCAAACAGCTGGGCGCTCGTGCTACAGGCCGGCCAGCTGTGCCATAGTCGCCGCGGACGGCATTGGAAGGCCGCCTCCAGTCGATGGTAGGCATCGATCGACGCGTCGAGTGCGACGAACCAAGGTGACGCCCCTCCCCTCCCCCTCCCGCTGCGCTATAACCGCGGAGGTGCGGCCGCCAGACCCGAGTAAGTACCGCCGTCCGCGGTCACCGGACCACGCTGTGCGCCGACGGCATCGGGCCGCCGCCCACGCCGCGCATGGCATGACGGACGGCTTCTGAACGCGGTTATTGGCCGCCCATTGGCCAGTGCACGCTCATCGTGCGGAATGAGACTTGGCACACGCCTGTATACGGCGCACGCCGTCTGAATAGCCGGCGTCGTCTGTGAGAGGCTGGCTATTGACCACGCCTCGTCCTAGGCGGCAGGCGGTAGTCCGCCTCCGCACGTCCCGGTGGACGTATCAGGAAGTCTTTACTGATTCGACGCCAGAGGCCTTACATAAGCCTTCGGCCAATTTCGTGATGTGAAGGTGGCACGGACAGCTGCACGGACGCGTAACACGAGCCGGGAGAGCGGACACTTCCGGAGATCGGCTGTGACCCCCGCAAAGGGTGGAACGAGCCAGCCAGCACGGGTTGGGGAATGAACAGGCTACCCGTCAAGGTTTGGATCTGTAGATTGTGCATCTACAACCCTATCCTAGACTGGGTGCTCTTTATCTGACGCTTTGAGAGACATGATCAGGCTAGGTTGTAGCCAAATGTGTTCCCCTCGATCCGCCCTTGCACGAGGTGTGCTCGTACAAGGCTGATGGCATAGTGGAAATTGCGACGCAACGAGCCGGCGTCGAGAAAGTTCCCGTCGTGGCAGAGCAGCGTAACTGCCAGCGCGCCGCGTGCTGGCCTGAACACGCCCTGCCCTGCCTGCCTGGCAGAGTGGCGTATCTGCCGGGTGACCGGGTTCGCCGTCTGGTGGGCCACCCGGTCGGCACCGCTGACACCCGTGCTGTGCTCCGGGTCCGCGGGTGCGCAGGGTGGCGGAGATCACACACGGAGCAGTGGGGGAGGGGGGGGGGGCGGTGTCGCGGGGGACGGCCGCGAGCGGGCGCTGGCACATCACGTGTAGAGTGGCTGAAGAAGTGGGTTTCCCTTCCTCTTTCCTTGGGATGACGATCCTACGTTCGTAGAGCTACGCACGAATTTATAGCAACCCCGACCAAAGCCGTAATGATACCAGCAGCGTCAAGAGATCAGATCGGTTAGTGAGCCCATGAATTAAGACGCGTGGGGGGCCTATGTAAAAAGACAAGTGTTCGCAAGAACCGATGCAAAAAGGCACAAGTGAGGCAGGCTGTGGGCGGCCTACCAGGCAACAGCTGCACCGTGTACCTAAAAACCGCTGACAATGCCGGGCTGTGGTGCTTCCGAGTGGTGACGGCAAACAGGCAACGGCTGACGTCACTGACCTCGTTAGTCTATACCTGCATATATCCGCAGGTTTCTTGAGAACAAGAGGAGTGTGAATTCCTCCTTTGCGCAAAAAAT